ACCATGATTGGCGTCCTGACCTTGCTGCTAAGAACATCTGCAACATGAATTATTTTACTTTTAGGTACCCAGATCTTCTTGGGTACTTTAGGGTTAGTTGTTTCTGAAGGTTTGTCTAAACTTCTGTTTTTCAACATAAGGTTTATTCTGATTAGCCTTAGATTTAAACACATGAATGTTCTTTTCAGAACGTGTTTGTTCAATATCATTCAAGTGACCAAATTTAAAGTGGGAATATAAAGGAGTCTTTTTGATGATAATTTTATCAACAGGTTTTGGATTTAAATCCTTTTCAGTAGAGTATCCTTTATCTAGAACCTTTAGTCTAGTTGTAAGTATTTGAAATCTGGAGAACATAGCTTCAACAGATTCAGAGTCTTCCATCTTGAAGGTTTCATACTTCTGGATTAGAGCCAGAGCCTTTGTTTCCTTGACTTGAGAGTTTCCCTCATGAGTTATCTTTAAGGACTCAAACATGTCAAATGCAGTTTCCCTATTTGTAATTTTTTCATACTCAGTGTGAGATATTGCATTTAACAATATTGTTCTGGCCTTGTGGTGATTTCTAAATTCCTTCTTTTGAGCATCTGTCATAGATTTTCTGTCTACTTTCTTGCCATTCCCATCAGTGGGATGAACATATCCATCTATGACCAGATCCCATAAATCATCATCATATCCAAGGAAAAAACTTTCAATCCTGTCTTTCCAATAATCAAATTTATCCCCATCAAACACAGGGGGTTTGGTGCTGATTCTGTCCCTTTCTTCATATTTGTTGTTAGTGTTAGACATTGTATTATCAGCCATAGTAACAACCAAATATATATCAAAGTTTTTCTCACTGGATCTTTACTGTCACTGTGAAGTGGTAGCACACACAGAACCAGAGCTCTGATACCAACTAAAGGTGAGCAAATACTTAGAAGGGGGGTTGAATAAGTATGAAGATAAAAAATTTCAAATAAAAACTCAAGTATTTTTATCCTGGTTCGTTGAACTCAACTACTCCAGTCCACCCTTCCTAAAGTGATTTACCTTTCTCAATCAAGGACTTAATCCACTATTTAATCAACTGATTACAATAGTAAGCACTAAGAACAACTGTTCAAAGTCTTCTCAAAAACTACTGATCCTAACTGGATCTTCTTAAGGTTTTCTTACAATCAAATGTAATAACAAATACAAGTGTTTAAATTGCTTCTAATCAAGCTTTATCACAACTGTGATTTTTCACTTAAAGTTAAGAACAAAGAAATTAATTCTAGAAAGAATGTGAATAGTATAAGAGCTTTGAATATTGATTTCTTTTGGATAAAACATCAAATGAAGAAGATGGGTGAAGACTTGCTTTTATAGGCAGCTGATCCAAGGAGAGCTTCACGTTGAGAAGAGTGTCCAAAAGGTCTGAGCCTTTTTGTCTTCACATCAAGTGACCTTTCCTAGAAGAAGAAAGCACAGAGAAATCCTTTTTGTCTGTGTTCTTGTGTCTAGCATAAATAAGGAAAGAGTCGTTTGAATTATTCCAACGGACATAATCTTTGAATTCTTCTTCTTCAAATTTCAGCAAGATTCATCAGAGTCTACTTTGATCAGAGCCTTCTGATGTTGATCAGAGTTTTGCTGAATCAGAGTCTTCTGCAGCAGGTATGCTTTTAGCGTGTGTAAGTTCAGAGCATGTTTGAGTTAGATCCTCAGTACTGGCAGCTTTAGTACTTTCGGAATCTTCTGTAGTAACTATGCTTTGAAAACTCTTCATACAGAATTCTTCTTTGGTTCAGATGCTTCTGACTTGCTTCAGATCCTTCTGGAGCTTCTGCTTCAGATCCTTCTGGAGACAGCGCTCGGGATCTTCTGTTGGCAACATTCAGAATCTTCTAATGAATGCATCTGGCGCTTCAGAGTCTAGCATATTTCTTATGTTCAGTTCTGATTTGCTTCTAGAGTGATAATTATTTTGATATCTGCAGCAAACACTCTCAAGCAAATTTTAGAGTATATAATTCTTAATTACAAAATTTCATAATAGTTATCATCAAAACATAGAGATACTATTAAGAACCAATTTGTGTTCTAACACGAGGAAATCACCATAACAAATACTTAAAGCTCTTAAGATTTCTAAGATATTAAATGTTTAAGAAATCTTAAGGCTTTTACAATTACAACCTGCAACAGAAATTCTGTATACTCGATTGTGTTGATAATTGTTGATCTTGTTACTCCTCCATCAAGTTGATCCTTGTTAAAGATTCAGTTTGAACCTTCAGCTACTTATATAGCATTTGCAGAAGACTATCAGTTGGCGAGATAACTTGATTAAGTCTCTTTTCTTTCTTCATAGTACAAGAGACGTTGAAGATAAATATACCAAAAGATCTTGATCCATTGCATAACGTGTTTAACCATTGAGTCTTCCAAGAGATCCTGCACTATAGAGCCGTTGAGAGTAGATATCCGTAAAACATGCCAACTTTTCTTGAGCCTTGTGAACTAAGACTCTAGCTGACAAACTAATTTAACAATGCAACTTGCTTTTTGCAGTACAGATAACTTCAGCTTTAACTCTAAATGATCACTAAAAGGCAATTTACATTCACTAAGTGTAGAGACAATTATGTTGCTTCTTCTAATGCTGATGCATTCAGCTTCAGAGTCTATGTCAGACATCACTTAGAGAGTGTTCTTCAGATTCTGCACCACCAAAAGCTAGCAATTCAGCTTCTCTCAAGTGTGCTCTTGTATATCAGATTATGAATATATATCTATAAGTATTAGAATCCGTATACATGAAGCACATATCAAATATAACCATTGTTCTTTTAATACTTTTTTATCATCAAAATCCAAAGAATATATGTCATGAATAAATATTGTTCTAACATATTTTCAAGAATGAGCCAAACATTTTCGAATGACTAATTGACCTATTAGCTTACCTAAAAGCATATTTATTTGAAGATTTACAAATAAGAAATTCAACTAATGTTTAAATAGATTAACAAATTAAAATATCAATGAGATTAAATATTTATTTGTATTGATTTATTCGAGTTTAGTTAATAACATCAGTTTTATGATACTATTTGCTTGAATGAACTTTTTTTTATAAGTAAGGAATTCACTAAACAAAGGAGTACAAGAGGTACTCAATCCTTACAAAACAAATAAACCATTCAATAAGAACAGTTCAAAGAAGACATACACCAATCCATAAAACTACAAAGAGATTTGTCTTTGTTATCAATGATCAACCAACTCCAAGTAATATATTTAATCGAACTCACCATGTCATCTACACTAACTTTGGAATCTCGAAAGAGAATATCGTTTCTACTAATCGAAATGATCCAAGAAGTTGCTAACCAAACCATCGCGACCTTTTTCTTTCCAAAAAACTTCCGCAGCGCGGCAAATAAAAAAGTGAAAGCTTCCATACAATTAATAAAGGGCGACTGATCAATACCTAATCAAATGTAAATTAATCTCCAAACATTCTTCATAATTTTTTTCGATTTATTTTCATTTGTTCTTCCAAATAATTAAATTTTATTTTTGTATTTTAATTCAAATATTAAATACAATATAATAATAATAATAATAATAATAATAATAATAATAATAATAATAATAATAATAATAATAATAATAATAATAATAATAATAATAATAATAAAATTCTTCATATTTATTTAAATATGTCAATCTCATAGATTTAAAAAACTTTTTTTTTTATAATATATGACTTAACGGTTTTAATTAAATAGATTTATAAAAAATCTAAATCTTTTCTATTTTAAAAAAAGTTTGATTTGAACTGAACTTATATAAATTAAATTATGGACCTTTGTTATTTTTATTTCTATTTACATTCTTATATCTCATGTCGGTGCGCAACTATCAACTGAAAAACTAAACAAAATTGCTAGCAAGTCACTCTATTTAATTGAATAAAGATTTCCCAACATTAAATATTCACACTAATAGCATTGCATATAAACCAAGTTTTTATCACATTAAAAAATAAATCAGTCAATTAAAATATTATAGCATAAAAAGGTGAAGGGCAAGCTCTACTAACTCCTCATTATTCAACCTTTTCGTGATATCATCATCATCATGTATCATGATCATAACACAGCTAATTAGCAACTCATAATATACTCAATATTTTATTCTTGAATTCATCTTCTTCTCCCTATTGTGTTACAGAAATATATACACAAATAGAATATAGTTTTCATATATTTCTGTGCCCATTCCTGGTTGTCAGTCCTTGTATCAGAAGTTAGCTACCATTTGCACTGATCCACACACCTCTCTCTTTCTTAAAACCCACGTCCGTGCCCTTCAAGCTACCAAACTGTGTAACCTAAGCTTCTTTTCTTCTTTCTCTTCTTTCCTTTCTCTTTCAAGAATCCATTTTTCTTTTCACAAAAGGTTTGTGTTTCTTTTCTTTCTGACTTCTTTCTGTTTTGCATGTTGTCCCTTTGATTTGTCCCATGCATGTTTTTGACATATAGTTGCATATAGAACCATATCAAGACAAGAACAGTGATTATTTCAGGCATACATATTCCTTTTTTTCTGCTGTTTATAAGGGTTTGTGTTCTATATATTTGTTCTTGTAACTTGTAGGTTTGTTGATAGAAAGTCAAATATGTTAATCAGTTCAAAAAATCATGCATGGAATAAAAGGTCTAGATTTTCTCAAACAACTGGTTGGTCGGTAAAAGTTATCTATACTTCTAATAAGATCTTCCTAGGGTTAGCTCGAGATTATCAATCTTAAGCCACAATTTTTGAATTTCTACATCATTGACTAATGGTAGATTCACACCTGCTATAGTACCCTAGAATAAAATTTCTTCATTTATATTAAATTATACATGAAATCTTGGTAAAGTTATTAAGACGGCTATGAGTTTATCATTTAAAAAGGATCTGAAACGTCTTCATTATTCTCTCTTTAAAATCTTTCAGGTAGTAAGTAGTGCATGATGATGCAAGGAAGTGGAGAATTAACAGTTCCTCCAGGGTTCAGGTTCCACCCTACTGATGAGGAGCTTCTTTACTATTACCTGAGGAAGAAAGTTTCATATGAAGCCATTGATCTTGATGTTATCAGAGAAGTTGACCTAAACAGACTTGAGCCTTGGGATCTCAAAGGTACACATTCATAATCTCTATATTATCTACTCTTCTACGTGTGTCCGACCGACACCAGACACACCTTTAATCCGAAGTGTCTGTGTGCTGTTATATATATTGCTTGAGATTTTGTAACATGAACTTGTTAAACACCATTTTGAATTTCTTTTGTATGTATATATACTTGTTGCAGATAAGTGTAGAATTGGATCAGGGCCACAGAATGAGTGGTATTTCTTTAGCCATAAGGACAAGAAATACCCAACAGGAACAAGAACAAATAGAGCAACTACAGCTGGGTTTTGGAAAGCAACTGGAAGAGACAAAGCCATATATCACACAAATTCCAAAAGGATTGGTATGAGGAAAACCCTAGTCTTCTACACTGGACGTGCTCCTCATGGCCACAAAACTGACTGGATCATGCATGAGTACCGTCTTGACGACGATGATAACGCAGAAGTTCAGGTCACAAAATCACCATCATGATCATCATCTATATTCATCTATAATTCCTTTATAGCTCATTGTTATTTCACTTTTCAGGAAGATGGGTGGGTTGTATGTAGGGTTTTCAAAAAGAAAAACACAAGCAGAAGTTACCAACAAGAAATTGAAGAAGAAGATCACATGATTAACCACATGAGATCAACAAATGGAGGTCCATGCCACCAGATGCTAGAGCAAAAACATCATCATCATCACATGCAACAATTAGGACTATATGATTACAACAACAATCATAACAACACCTTTGATGGTACAATTCATCTACCACAGTTATTCAGTCCAGAATCATCAGCTCTAGCACCACAACAACCACCAACTTCCTTTCACAATTCATCCATGGACATCCTTGAATGTTCTCAAAACTTGTTGAGGCTCACATCAACAAATACTAGCTCTGGACTTAATCTTATGCAACAACATCAACATCAACAAGGAGAGAGGTTGATCAATGGCGGTGATTGGTCATTCTTGGATAAATTACTTGCATCTCATCACCATGGCAATATGGATCAGAATCTCAGAAACAAGTTATGTAACCCTCTTCATAATCAGCAGGCTGCACCTGCTGATGTTGGTTCAACTTCAGCTCAGAAATTTCCATTTCATTACCTTGGTTGTGAGCCTCATCCTCATGATATTATGAAATTTTCAAAGTGATTAATTAAGGTTATGATGATGAGAACTTTGGTTTTCTAGTCTAAGTTTTTTTTTTTAATTCCTGTTAGATACTATTTATAATTCCATGCATTAATTTAGTTAATTATTTCTTTTGAGTATGAATTGTATATATATTTGCATCTCTTTTATTCAATCTGTTAATTAATGTATAAGCCTGCTTAATCCAAACTTTAGGAACACATGTTCTGAACAAATAGAAAGAAAATTTTATGAGAATGAGAGAGTATAAAGTACTCTAACCAAGTTTTAAGAGCCACACCACAACAAAAGCCTAAAATATGAAGAAAATAAGGCTATGATTACCACGGAAAAATGCACTCATCAACACAACGTTCGTTATAGATGAAGAAACTGTCAAGGTTATGACAGCATTTGACGAGAAATAATCATTGTTCTTATTGAATGAAATGACCTCAATTACATAGCATTGTTGTAAACACTTCTTGCTTAGCTAAAGAAGAAAAAACTACTTAGCTCTATCAAGAACCACTTTTATGATAAGAGAATTTCTTATCTCACTCTATCGGTTTCTTTTCTACCGTGTGGTCTTTTACAATTGTCTTTAGATTTTGGATATATATCTTCGGACGCGCTCTATAGGTTAATAATATTTCAGAGATATATCTCCGAAACAATTTAAACCTTAGACGGTCACAACATATCTCTCATAGCCCATTTCCATTTAAATTTGTCCGGAGATGCATTTACGGAAATTTTTTGGAAATACATTTCTGAAGTGTTTCAAAACAAGTTTTTTTTAAACGCATTGTGTATTTGTTCGCAGATGAATTATGAAATAACAGACACACCAAAATTACATAACAATATAGTAATAGGATGACATACGTCACGTAAATCCAAAATGTAATAACAATGTAAGGAAAAACGTACAACCTACAGTACTGAAACAAAATAAATACAGATAACTATTGGGTGTCCCTGAAAACCTCTCATGTGCCTCATGTGCCTGGTTTGTCTCATTGACCATTGATCTCCCCTGTCCTCGCGCAATATTTGTGGTACAAAAGTGTTTCATGTGCCTCCGCAATTATGACATCTAGTACTTGTCTTACAACAGACCCCTCAGAGAAGATACCCTCGTCAATGTCTGCTCGCACCATCTCTACTATGTGACGACAACAAGGCAAGACATCCTCAGTATGATCCATCTGAGCCTGCTGCTCCTCTAGAATCTCCTGATAAGAGGGTCTCGGCGGATCTCACGGAGTAGCCAACACCATGTACGAGTGTGACACCCTAAAGAACCACCTGATATATTCGTCGACGTAGCTCCAATCATTTAATGCTTTGGTAGCCCGAGCCTCATCCGGTACCAGATGACTCTGATAATCAACAAATATCTCCTCTATCTGTATATGAGTCAAGGCCAGAGGTGCAGAGACAACAGGATGTCTAGAGATGGTTTGGGTGTATCCAAACTGTCGCATGACACACTCAAGCAGATGAGGAGCAGTGACCGTCAATAAGCAGGCCAACCATCTGGAGTATAGCGATATGTCATCAAATGACCGCGTCTGACAGTGATCCACGTAGCAGTTGAAGTGGGTATCCTCAGCAACCAAGCGATCAAGATATACTATGAAAGGCTCGACCGCCTGGTTCCCTCTCAGCGGGATAAAAGCACAGGCAGATGACAACTCCTCAGTGTACTCATCTCAACACGACCAGTTAGCATGCGAGAGAAGTGTTGGAGGATCCAAGCCTAAAATGAAAATAAAAAGCATTCAGGGTTCAAGAATGATCACAAATATGAAATAAAAAAGATAAAAAATAATCAAGGATAAATAATTATTACCACCAGTAGGGTCGTGCTGCATGTGATCTGCCTCGTCGTCCACTGACATCCATCTCTCAGCTTCGAATACAGATAGGTCAAGCAAGTCGCTCTCAAGTTGTACTCATGGACCATGTGAGATCCAAGAAGTACTGGAGGTATGCAACGCCAGTATAGGTGGCACTCGTGTCAACAAAAAGCACAATGCCAACTAAAAATAGAAAATATCACCTCAAAGCATGACTCCTGTGGATTAGCACCTCATGGGCATCATCATCTGCATGTGCTGCAGCAATGTGTCGCGGTGAAATTTGGATGTCAAACTATTAATTAGTTTGAATCTTTAATTCGCAACCGAACTTTGATTTGTCCAAAGGAAGGGATAAAGATCGAAATTCCCACAATGCAATGCAAATGCAAGGTTTAGAGGGTTTTAGGTTCGGGGGTTGGTTAAACTTAGGGAAGGTGCTAGCATCCTAAGTTTCTGTAGTACTCTACAGGAACCTCTTGTTTTAGTGTCGTTTATTGCTAAGGTTTATCTGCTTAATGGTTTGAAAGACCTAGGGGGTTTATTTCTAAGTATACTCGATAAGATATCGCATCTTATGCCTACATATCCTTACGGGAGTGGAATCAGAGTATCTGTAGTTCTCCTAAAGGGTTTGAGGAGTTCTTTGACTGTGGTCAAAGTTCCTACGGGTTTAGGATAGTTGATTGATTGATTTTAGGAGAAGAGATGTGTTATCATTTTAAGGGAGATTTAACCGCCACAAATTGTAGGAAAATAGTCTTTGCATCATCTTAAGAGAAGGGCTCAAGTACTCGGATATAGATCGACGAGGTACGTCTCTATCTCTCTTAAGGAAAAGTTCCTACGAATTGATTGTAATTGATGTGGGGTGGAGATTCTATCTCGCTTAAGATGATTAACATCTATTTCTCTATTGTGTTTGAATATTGTTGTATTGTTGATTGTTTGTTTCTATGTTGTAAAGATAACGGTCCTTCCTATGGGGTAGGATCTATCTTAATTGATCAACTTGGATGGGATCAAGGATCAAGTGGGAGTATGATGCATATGATGTGCACTACACACAAGTGTTGACTCATGTGTAGGGTTTTCCTTTGGACGGAATGCGATGCGGGAATATAAATACGATAATGTAAATTGCAGAAAATGTAAAAGGACAGATAATTAAATCCATACACGAACGCATGAAAGCACTAGGTGAGTGTGTGAATTGTGTATGTGAATGTGCGGAAGCGTGCACGATTTGATTGTATTTTACGTTGTGAGTTGATTTTAGTTGGTGGAATTTATTTTAAGCGGGATTAATTTTAAGAGAAATTATTTAAGGGGTGAATTGATTTTAAGAAAGGAGTTGTATTAGTTTTATTTTATTTAATAAAAGTTTATGTTATGAATTAATTAAATTGCTAGTTAGACCTAAAATAAAGTAATTTTAAAAAGGTTTTCTTATGTTATCATAATTTTAGTTTAACAAGTGAATATAGATTATTTAGATTATAAAATTGTTTTCTTATTAAAAAGAGTTTTTAAAATTTAACAAAATACTATAGATCATTCTGAACTATGAAAAATAGGCTTTTAACATTTTTTAAGAAAAGAGACTAAATTATAATTAAAAGGTTAATTAAATTGATAAAGAAAAAAAGATTAATTAAAGGTTAATTTAAAAATGGAATTTATTAGTTCATTTTAAAGAAAAAACGGTTGATTATGGATTAATAGTGATTAATTGATTAATAAAAAAAATTTAATTTAAATGAAAGGTTTATTAGTTAATTAAAATAGCTGATTAATTAGGTTAACTAAATAGAATTAGTAATTAAGTTAGGATTATGTTGATTAATAAAATAGATAATGGTTAATTGGGGTTAGTTAAGAGAGGCGAGTGATCTGGTGAGGAGTAGGTGTAGGGCTTACGATGGAGCGCAGCGTGGGGGGTCATTGGATGGGATCCAGATGGTGATGAGTGAAGGTGCACCAAAGATAGTGTGTGTGTGTGCACTGTGTGTGATTATTACAACAGAACAAAAAAAAAACAAAAAAACGAAAAAAACCTAGCCTTCTCCCCCAAATTGCCGCCTGCAATCCCCTCTCTCTCGATTTCGTCTCCCATTCTCTGCCTCCACTTATCGTTTCTCACTCTCTCTTTTCATCATAATTTCGTCTCATCCTCTCTCTCTCTCTGTCGCGATTCCCTCCATAATTAAACAACGACAAAAGATTAGCGAAAGTACCCTTTCACGACCCGTTAGCCCCTTCGCAGGTGTGGTGGCTGGAGGCGGATGGAAGCGATACGGTGATGATGACTTCGCCGGTGGTGGTCTTCTTTCTGACATAAGTCTTTTACGATTCTCGTTTTGGTTTTTTGATTAAGGATTTGTATTGGGTTTTTTTGCGAAGGTGTTATGGATGGTTGTGTGTTGTCTCCTTTCGTAGGCGTGGGTGTGATTTCTGTATGTTGTGTTCTGAAAATGTCCTTTTTTCTGCTCCAATTTATAGTCTTGAGCATGATCTCATGAGTTAGTACGCTTTACCGTCTTTCCCAAATTAGCAGGGCATGTTTGTATCAGTTTGGAAAGTTATTGATTTTGTTTCAATCTTGTCTTGGAATAGTATTGGTGCCATTATTTCCCTTATGAACCTTGCGTTCTTTTCCCGTTGAGAACTCATCGTGTTTTTTCTTCTTCTTGACCTTAGGTTAATGGTGGCGTGGATTTCTTTGTGGAGAACAAATTCATCAATGCTAGACCTTGAGCTGTTATTCATGTTTGTGTTTGAAGTTGAGACGGATGCTTATGAAGATTGGTCACTAACAGGGCTAGTTGGGGGAGTACTAGAAGAAAGCTTGTTGTAAGGTACCAAACTTGAGGGACCAGAACTTCCAGACTCTGTTTTATTTCTTGAAGTAAAGCCTGACAGTGCTCTGACTGGAGATGAGGGAGGCTCTGGATCAAAAATTATCTCCTTCTTTGCTCGAATGTGTTCGTTAGATATTGGGTGTTCTAACAGACTTCTTTATTATTGAACAGGTTGGATATGATGGCTTGAATTCAGTTTTTTTGATGCAGGTCAATGCTTATGGAAGGTTTACGTACGGAGCTTCACCAGTTGACATACCATTCACGAGGTTGGGACTTTCTCCCCGTCTTTCCT